ACACGTCAATAACACAACACAACAATTCAATAACACAACACAACAGGTCAATAACACAGCACAACACTTGCACAATAACACTCCACATCACAAGAGGCCCTTTAACACAACATAAGAGGTAACTAACACCCTGCAACACAGCACAACACGTCAATAACACAGCACAATAACACCCCACGACACAGCACGACAGGTCCAATAACACCCCACAACACAGCACAACACGTCAATAACACCCCACAACACAGCAGCACAACACGTCAATAACACAGCACAATAACACCCCACAACACAGCACAACACGTCAATAACACCCCACAACACAGCACAACACGTCAATAACACCCCACAACACAGCACAACACGTCAATAACACAGCACAATAACACCCCACAACACAGCACAACACATCAATAACACCCCACAACACAGCACAACACGTCAATAACACCCCACAACACAGCACAACACATCAATAACACAGCACAAGATAAGAGAGAAGACGAAGAAGTCATTTTATAATATCCAGTGAATGAAAATAAACAACAGGTCTCAAAATACCCAAGAATAAGATGGAATAACCTGGACACCTGGCGCCTACCTATCTCACCTGGCATTCCCCAAGGTGTACTCTGGAAGACAGACAGACAGACAGACAGACAGAGAATTTGAGAGAGGGAGAGGGAACGAAAGGCAAGGAGAGAGCTGGTATTAAGGGTAATACTCAAGGAACAGCTGGTATTTGGGGTAGTACTCAAGGAACAGCTGGTATTAGGGGTAGTACTGAAGGCACAGGTGGTATTTGGGGTAGTACTCAAGGCACAGCTGGTATTAGGGGTAGTACTGAAGGTAAAACTTCTGTCATCATCATCATTATTATTATTATTATTAATATTATTAATATTATTTTTATTATTATTATTAATATTATTATTATTATTATTATTATTATTAATATTATTATTATTATTATTATTAATATTATTATTATTATTATTATTATTAATATTATTATTATTATTATTATTAATATTATTATTATTATTATTATTAATTCAATTTCAATTTCAATTGTTTATTCCTTGATAGAGGAAGCGGGATCCTAGTGCTGTCACTAGGTACCCCTGTACAATGACACCAGAAGCATCTGGCAAGTGTGACAAGTATATACAGTATAAATATTATAAAGGGGCTTACTAAAGCCTAAGGAAGGAAGGATATTCCTTTAACACATAATCAATATTATTTACAAAATATCTGGCCAGTATGGGGAGGATCATCGTGTCTCCGTCAGGGGGTCGTGGAGTGGTGGTCCAGCAGGCGTCACGGAAGCGTTGTGTGTGGGGACATCTTAGGAGGTAGTGGATAAGGGTGCTGCTGTCGGGTCTTCTGCATAATGCACAAGAGCGTTGCTCAGGGGATGCGGGGATACCAATCTCCCAAGCAAAGTCATACCCAATGATGATATGGGCAGCAATCACGTCCCCTTTCCGCGACCCTTTCCCATAGTATTATTATTATTATTATTATTATTATTAGTAGTAGTAGTAGTAGTAGTAGTAGTATTAGTATTATTATTATTATTGTTATCAAGGTCAAATTTCTAAACCATGGCATCGGTTTTCCGTAGAGTTACATGGAGAGTTGGTAATGGTGATGGTGGTGGAAGTGGTTGGTAAGGGTGGTAGTGGATGGTAATGGTGGAGGTTGTTATAGTTATGGGTGGATCTCTTAAGAAACTTTCTTTGACTTTTCAGGAAATTTATTAAATTTGTTTATGTATGTATGTACATATATGTACAGGTATGTATGTATGTATGTATGTATGTATGTATGTATGTATGTATGTATGTATGTATGTATGTATGTATGTACAGTATGTACAGGTATGTATGTAAGCATGCATGTATGTATGTATGTACAGTATGTACATGTATGTATGTATGTATGTATGTATGTATGTATGTACAGTATGTACAGGTATGTATGTATGCATGCATGTATGTATGTATGTACAGTATGTACAGGTATGTATGTATGCATGTATGTATGTATGTATGTATGCATTCAAACTCCCAAACCAGGTAAACACACACACACACACACACACACACACACACACACACACACACACACACACACACACACACACACACACACACACACACACACACACACACACACACACACACACACACACACACACACACACACACACACACACACACACACACACACACACACACAGCCACCGGCTGCAACTCTATTAATAAACCGTTTATTATTATCATTACACATCCTTGACCACCGTCGGGTCGAGACCTATTCAGGCGCTGCTCCTGAGCAGCGGCCCCCTTTGGCCAATGTTCGACCCCACTCCCCAAGTCCCTCTCCCTGACTCATCCTCACCACCGAGATATCAACATAATCAAAAGTGACAATTTCGTTTCGGAAAGAAGTGGGACAAGTGTTGAACAGTGATGAACAGTCTTTAAGCCAGTGAATTCAGTACTAGACAGTACCAGTGAGAACCGTGACCCACCAGTGAGATAAGCATCCTGGGAACTGACCACCATCTTCTGACCAGGAGGTGCTAATCAGTCCACGATGGGAACAACAGTGGGTCGGCTTCACACCTGACTACGAGATAACACAACACCACCCAGCAGAGTGAGGTACTGTGACACCATCCCACACCACCCGGTATCCCCATAACCACGTGAAGTCCTTCATATCAACACCCAAGGACGAGTTACTGTACCACATGAACACCACACCACCTGGTGTCTCCATGACCAGCCCAGGCCCGGGACATCAACTGCAAACTATAATAATTTGTATGTTCAATCATTGTTCCTTCTTCTTTCAATAATGAAAGCTTTAGTTAAACGACCCACCCACCCCATGTCTTTGTGTGTAATAAGTCATTTTTGTCCAATGTATACTTTCAGCCTTCGGGCTGCATAACTTTTTCAATAAACTTTCCAAGTTCACCTATGCCCCCCCCTACCTGATCTTCCTCCCTAAATGCCAAACAACGAAAACACCTAGAAAATGTGCAGAAGAGGGCATGCAAGATTATTCTTTCCCCTTCCTACTCCACATATCAAGAAGCTCTCAACACACTGACCCTCTCGGCTCTCCCTGATCATCACCACGACCTCATCTGCAAATTTGGGGAGAAGCTTCTGCACCATCCTCGACACCGGCTCCAGCTTCCACCCGACATTCCTCGTCCACGAATTGCTGTTCGATACCACAAATGCATCCAGCCCATACGAGCACGAACTGATCGCTATAAGAACAGCTCAATCTCTATCATTGTAAAAATTATTAACAACTCATAATCAATCAGTGTGTTCACTCCCAGTCAGTCTCACCTTTCTGCACAGTTACTATGTTATTATATATCATATTTGCATCACTTACATTACTTGTATATTATTTGTAAATCAAGAGACCCATTCCCCAATTATGTAACTGTATATTTTCAGCCTTCCGGCTGCCAGGTTCTTTCAATAAACCGTTAATTATTATTATTATTATCATTATTATTATTATTATTATTATTATTATTATTACACACACACACACACACACACACTGACCCTTTCGACTCTCACTGACCATCACCACGACCTCATCTGCAAATTTGGTAAGAAGCTTCTACACCATCCTCGACACCGGCTCCTACTACCACCTGAGATCCCTAGCCCGAGAATTGCTGTTCGACACCACAACCGCATCCAGCCCATACGTGCACGAACTGATCGCTATAAGAACAGCCCGGTCCCATCCATTGTAAAAATTATCAATAACTTGTAATAAACTAGTGTATTCACTCCCAGTAAATACTACTTCTTGCACTGTCACTATGTTGAAATGCACTGTAGTTTGAGCTTTTCCCCATCTAGTTATTATATATCTTATTTGTATCACTTGTGTTACTTGTATATTATTTGTAATTCGAAACCCATTCCCCAAATATGTAACTGTATATTTTCAGCCTTCTGGCTGCCAAGCTCTTTCAATAAACCGTTAATTATTATTATTATTATTATTATTATTATTACACACACCCTTCTGTCTGGGGTATGTACATTATATGTATACTGTATATATATATTGTCAAGGTCAGGCCTCCATAAACACTTAACACAAGGTCTCGGCTGACTTGTTGAGAACCCCCAGCCCCAGCTAGCCTCAGCCCCGCCTCAGCCCCCCGCCTCAGCCCCCAGTCACAGAGATGAACAAACAAATCGAAAAATAGGTAAATAAAAGAGATAGATAATAGCAATAAATAAATACTTAAGATATACAAATAGATAAGTATAGAGGAGGTAGAGAAACAGATCAAGCTAAAATAGAGATGAGGGTGAGGGGCAGAGTGAGAGATGAGGGAGGAGAAAGAGTGAGAGGTGAATGGGGGAAAATTGAAAGGTGTGAGTGGGAAGAGTGAGAGGTGAGGAGAGTGACATGTGAGGTGGAGAGGGTGAGGCAGTGTGAGCAGGTGAGTAGAGAAGAGTGTGAGGGTAGAGTGAGAGGTGTGAGGAGAGTAAGAGGTGTGAGGGTAGAGTGAGAGGTGAGGGAGAGTGAGAGGCGTGAGGGAAGAGTGAGAGGTGAGGGTAGAGTGAGAGGGTGAGTGAGAGGTGAGGGGAGAGTGAGAGAGTGAGAGGTGAGGTGAGAGGGAAGGTGAGGTGAGGAAAGAGTGAGAGGTGGAGGTGGAGGTGGGGGAAGAGTGAGAGGTGGGGGAGAGGTGAGGGGAGTGAGGTGAGGGAAGAGTGAGAGGTGAGTAGAGAAAGAATGAGAGGTGAGAGGAGAGTGAGAGGTGAGGGAAGAGTGAGAGGTGAGGGCAGAGTGAGAGGGAGTCCCGGACCTCACTCTGACACATAAACAATCAAGAGAGGAGAGAGAGTGACGTCACAAGGGATCGGTGGTGAGTGAAGCTGAGAGGGGAGGAGAGGGAAAGGGGAGAGGGGGGAGGTTGGTCACTTTAAGCTTCCCTCCCTCTCTCATTCTCTCACATTCCCTCACTCCGGTAACTTCCTGGATGTCTTTCACGGGCGGAGGAAGCTGACAAAAAGAGAGAGAGAGAGAGAGAGAGAGAGAGAGAGAGAGAGAGAGAGAGAGAGAGAATACACCACCGAATCATCACGTTATACTTGATAATACAGTGAAAATACAATAGTATACAAGCGCATAAATACAAACCAGAATACAGCAAAAATAACAAGTGATTTTATATACAATACGAGTGAAGAAAAATACAACAACTCATTACAGTGTTTAGAAATATGTTAAAACTCTACTATAATAATTAACTCTCTGTATATTGTGTTGTAGCCGATACAGAAAAAAAAATCTCAGAAATACAGATACAGGTACAGTGTCTACCTTACCTGACTGTATCATAAAGGTGATAACTAAAAAAGAGATTCAGAAACAAAACAGGTTTAATAAATACAGATACTACTCAGGTGAGGTGTACAGAAGATCGAGTGAAAATTAATGAACAGACTGTGAAGGTAAATATAAGTGGTGATTAGAGACAGACAATAAAGAGGGATAATAAATAAGAAGAGAAGAAGCAGCCGATAATTGTGAGATAAAAGGTGAGGAGAGAGAGAGAGCGAGAGCCTTCAGTAATCAACCTTCGTTAACCATATCCTTCCTTTAACATATATTTCGTTAAAACTCAAGCAACATAACGTAACGAAAAAGACATAATGATAATCTGTTTATTATTATTTTTCTCCTCCTTTTGTTTTCTCCTTCTTTTTGTTTTCTCTTCTTTTGCCTCTTTCTTTCTGCTCCTTTTTTCTTGTTCTAATTTTATTGATGTTATTTTTATTTTTATTTTTTGCTATTATGTTGTTGTTTTGTTTGTGTTGTTTTGTTTTTGTTGTTATTTTGTTGTTGTTTTGTTTTTGTTGTTGTTTTTTTGATGTTCCTTTGTTGTTGTTGATCTTTTGTTTTTGTTGTTCTTTCGTTGTTCTTCTTTTGCTGTTGTTATTCTTTTGCTGTTGTTCCTCTTCTTTTTATTGCTGTTGTTGTTGTTCTACGTCTTCTTCTGAATTATCATTACTCCTTTCCTCTTCTATCTCCTCCACCTCTTCTTCTTCTACTTTCTCCTCTTCCTCTTTTACTTCCTCCTCTTCTCATCTTCTTCTACTTCTTCTTCCTCCCCTCCTCTTCTTCAACTTCTTCTTCCTCCTCTCCTCTTCTCCTTCTACTTCCTCCTCCTCCTCTTCTCCTTCTTCTACCTCCTCCTCCTCTTCTCCTTCTTCTACCTCCTCCTCTCCTCTCCTCTTCTCCTTCCTCTTCCTCCTCCTCCTCTTCTCCTTCTTCTTGTACCTGTCAAACATCAAGATGGTCTCTTATGGGCTCTTGAGGGTCGGCGCCAACCTCTCTTGTTTATATCACTCCTATGCTTTAGTGGTGCTTCTTCTCTTATCTTCTTCCTTCGCTTTTCCTTCTTCGTGTTTATTCCTTCTTTTCTTTCTTCTCTCTCTTCGTCTCTCCCCTTCTTTCGTTTTACCTTTATTTTCTTCGTCTCTCTCCTTCTTTCGTGTTAATTTTCTTCTTTCTTTCTTTTATTTTCTTTCTTCGTGTTCATTTTTCTCTTTCTTCGTCTTTCTTCTCCCTCTACTCTCTCCGTCTCTGTCTTTCTTTCTTGATTATTGTCTTTTCTTCCTTCGTGTTAATTATTTTCTATCTTTATATTCATTCTCTCTTCTTTCTTCTCTTCTACTTCTTCGTCGTTCTGCTTTCTACTTTCTTCGTCTTCCTTCTCTTCTCTTATTTCATATTTCTTATTTTTGCTTTTGTGAGACACTCCCAGGAAGTTCCTCACCTAACCTAACCTAATCTAACCAAAATTAAACCAAACTAATACTCTAATCCAACCTAATCTAACCACCCCAAAGCTGATCTAATCTAGCCTAACCTAAATGTAACCCAACGTAATCTATCTTAACTTAACCTGAGCTAACCTAACCTAACCTAACCATGATCACCTGAAACAGTTTCCAAGGTACCAGTACAGATGATTGTGGAATGAACTTTTATATTGCACAGAGAAGTTGCAAAAAACTTTGGGTCACATGTCAAGTGCAAAATTTCACGTTTATTTTGCTTGGCGATTAGGTTAGGTCGGGTTAGCGATGGGTTGGGTTAGGTTAGGTTAGGTTGTTTAATTATCAGGTGATATATACTGGGGGGTGCTAATCTTCATGTGATCCGTATTTTTGTCATCACCTGAAATTAACAAGCAGTGACGTGGTTAAGTGACATTGATGTAGAAATTACGGTCCAGATGAATGTTTGAAGTGAAAACCTTAGATAAGATGTTTTAGGTAATCACATATAATGATTTAATTACTGAACAGGTGAGTCTATTAACAGGTAGGAGCCAGGTGAGGGTGATGGCGGGGTCGTGGTGCGCCCTGGTGGTCTTAGGTCTCCTAGTCGTCGCCCACACCTATGAGGAGACCAGACTCGAGGACGTTATCGGTGAGTACGACTTCAGGATATTCAAGAACCTCTTCGTCAACACTACACAGCGTCTCCTCGAGGCCATCTCCCGCTTGGAGAACACGGCGGCCAAAGATGAATCCCTGGCGGAGCTGAAGGAGACCATGAAGGAGATCAGTGAGTCTCTGGTCGCAGCTAACGAGGCAGCCATCGCCGTCCGAGAAACTGTCAACAATGGCGCCGACGCTACCAAGAACGAATTGAAATTGTTCCAAGACCAAATCCTCCTGAAGCTGTCTGAAGTGAATGTCTTCGTGGAACACAAAACAAAACAAATGGAAGATCAGGTGGCAAAACTCGGCCAGATGTCGGTGAACCTCCTCGCTGGTGACTGTCAGGACCTCTTCGATTTAGGCTTCAACGCCTCGGGGGTGTACTACCTGCAGAAGTTCGGGCGGCAGGTCCTGTGTGACATGGAGACGGGTCAAGGTGGTTGGCTGGTCATACAACGGCGTGCGAAAGTTGTCGAGCAGGTATGGCACCACCATACAGTATACCTTTCGTCCAAATATTGGTGTGTGTGTGTGTGTGTAATATTATCATGTTAGGTCGTGGGAATTCGTATGCGTGATGTCTTGACCACTTCTTGGTAATTTAGCTTCCATTTTTTTTGTCTACGGCTTTTAAGCGTTTAAGAAAGATGATTTAAGCCATTGTGATATAGGTATAAAACCATCGTTCTTTAGTATTTAAACATAAGGCAATGAATATTTTACCGTGAACCTGCTACCAATACATACACACTCTTTCGCAGTGAAGTTCTCTGATTGGTTAAGGAATTTCACATCAACACTTTCATTTTAGCTTTACCAATTCTTACAAAAGTAGATCTTCTGTGCCACAACCAATTGCTAAATCACCTTTTACAAGCAGAGATAACATTATGTTCTTTGTTGTTACTGTTTGAAGTATAACATTCAATCAGTACAGTAATGATGTTACAAATAATTTCTCTCTCTCTCTCTCTCTCTCTCATATATATATATATATATATATATATATATATATATATATATATATATATATATATATATATATATATATATATATATATATATATATATATATATATATATATATATATAACTATCAACATATTTCTATCTTTCTATCTGTCTGAGAACACGATGAACGGATACGAACTTCTTTGACGAGTGTACTGTAACCACTTGTGTATCTTTTCCCCAGGTGGATTTTAACCGGGACTGGCACGAGTACAAGGCCGGTTTCGGGGACCTGGAGACTGAGTTCTGGGCTGGTAATGACTTCCTACACGTACTGACCAACCAAAAGACTTATGAGCTACACGTTGACATGGTCGACTTCGAGAAGGGACCTTATTGGGCCTCGTACAAGTGAGAACATGGAAGGTTTTATGAAATGTTGGTTATTGTGCATTTTCACGTGTTTTATGAATTACAACGGGTACCGAGTTTGACGGGAATAATCCATATTTATTATAGTTACCCATAAACATTTTCTTTGAAAGGCTGAGCTGTAATAATAAAAAATGGTAGTTTTGGGGAGACTTGTACAAACTTAGGTAATTCTATCGTTTAATCTTTAAATTTCTTCCTCTTTAACTTACTCTTTAGTTTTTGCTTACATCCGGTTAAATATTTTATTGAGCGAGCATGAATTTGTATATAGAAAGCATCCAGGTAGTAGGTGTAGTAGGCAGTAGGCAGCTACCAAACAGGGAGGTACTACCGCCTGGGAAGATATCGGAAACATAATGTGTTGTGTTATGGTAGACCCTGCTGCCATATGGCATCACGAAAATTTTGACCAAGTCCTAGGTTGATGATCTGACTTTCTGCTTCATTTATACACAATTTCAGGGTCTCAATTGTCTCTTACTATTGACAACACAACTAATATAACCTTCCTCACTCTTTATCTGCTCTATTCATTCTATTTTATTCTCCTATGATGTCAGTTGATATTAATATTGAAGAGGGTCCTTCTCGGATGGGTCCCAATGGTCAGGAAGGTTGTGGACCCCAGGGCCGACCTGATCATCATCAAACTACTAAGGCCTCAACTGATGCCACCGCAGTTGCTGGGGGATCGACTTTTTTCACACTTCATTTTTCAAACATTCGCGGCCCGAGATCCAATTTTCCTTCTGTGGAGCACCATCTATTAACCTCTTCCCCCGACCTCTTACTATTCTCCGAACTTCAACTGACCAAAGCAGCTTCACCCAAACCTTTTCAAGTCTCCAAATACAACCATTATACATCTTTTCGTTCTAAGGGAGGTGTATGCGCCTACTGCACCTATAGCTCGACTCTCGGATCTTAAATCTCCCCTTTATGATGTCATCTGGCTCAAAATATCTCTACAACTATGACTATTTTTATTTGTTTCCTATACTGTTCTCCTAACTCTACCAACTATTTGGAACTCTTTGACTATCTCACTTCTTGCCATGAGTCGTTGCTATCCACACACCCCAACACCGAGATCCTCTACCTAGGAGATTTCAATGCACATCACAGAGAGTGGCTTGGCTCAGCAAGGGATGACCCAGGTGGAGCTGAGGCACTCACATTTTCCTTACTTAATGATATGGAACAAATAATCAAAAACCCTACACGCATTCCTGATTAATTCAATTTCAATTGTTTATTCCTTGATAGAGGAAGCGGGATCCTAGTGCTGTCACTAGGTACCCCTGTACAATAACACAAGAAGCATCTGGCAAGTGTCACAAGTATATACAGTATAAATATTATAAAGGGGCTTACTAAAGCCTAAGGAAGGAAGGATATTCCATTAACACATAATCAATGTTATTTACATAATATCTGGCCAGTATGGGGAGGATCATCGTGTCTCCGTCAGGGGGTCGTGGAGTGGTGGTCCAGCAGGCGTCACGGAAGCGTTGTGGGTGGGGACATCTTAGGAGGTTCCTGATCAACACGATCAACTTGCTAACATTCTTGATCTTTGTTTTACCTCTAACCCCTCACACTATTCATACTCAATTTCTGCCCCCTTAGGGTCTTCTGATCACATTATTATTTCTTTTAAATCAAACTGGGCAGGACCACCTCCCCCACCCCCCTTTAAACGTCAACTATGGCACTATCGGAGGGCAAACTGGCAATCCTTGCGAGAATTCTTTAACGACTTTCCTTGGGATAAATGTTGCTTCTCCACTCGGGACGCCTCGGTATGTGCTGACAGCATTGCTGGGGTTATACAGGGTGGTATGAGTGCATTTATCCCGTCTTCTACCAAAACTTTCACTTTAAAATCATGTTTGATCGCTCCTGCTCCCTTGCATTCAGGGAGAGAGATGGGGCATATCAAGCTATGAAACTATCTTCTTCTCCTATTACCCACTCCTCTTTCATTACTTCTAGGAATCGCTGTAAAGCTATTCTTCGTAGGGCCAAGCGGAATTATGTTAAAAGAAAGACCGCTGTCCTGACCAATTCTTCCTCGAGTAAATCCTTCTGGTCCTTAACCAAAAACATCTGTAATAACTTATGCACTCCTTCTTTTCCTCCTCTCTCCCGACCTGATAACTCTATAGCCAACTCTCCCCATGACAAAGCCAATCTCTTTGGCACCTTATTCTCTTCTAATTCCACCTTAGACGATTCCAACTCTATCCCTCCTACCCCTGCACCTCCTACTGAACCTATGCACTTTCCTATAATCTCCACTCGGAGGGTTGCTGATGTGTTATCCAGGTTGGATGTGAGTAAGGCGCATGAGCCGGACGGAATAACCCCCCCCTCCCCCGTGTTCTGAAGGATTGTGCTGAAGCTCTGGCCCCTGTGCTTGCTCGCCTCTTTCGCCTTTGCCTCAAAACCCAAACTTTTCTTTCTTCTTGGCATGCCTTGATTCAGCCCATCCTAAAGAAGGCTGACCATTCTAATCCCTCTAACTATAGCCCCATTGCCCTAACTTCATCCCTCTCTAAGATTTTCGAAACTATCTTGAACTCCCATTTTTCTCCGTCACCTTGAACGCCATTCTCTTTTGTCAGATCACCAGTTTGGCTTTCGCCAGGCGAGATCTACTGGTGATCTGCTCTCCTACTGCACCCATCTTTGGTCATCCTCTCTTAGGGATTATGGGGAACTTCCGTCGTGGCCCTCGACATCTCCAAAGCATTTGACAGGGTATCAGGGCACAAGTCTTTGTTTCTAAACTTCCCTCTTTTGTTTCTCTCCCCACTTTGTTTTCTAATCTCTAGCTTCCTTGAGAACCGATCCATGGCAGTTGTTGTCGAGGATCGATCTCTCGCTCTTTCTCTACCAATAGTGGTGTCCCACAGGGTTCTGTTCTTTCACCTACTCTCTTCCTTCTGTTTATCAATGATTTACTTCACACTACAACTAGTTCTATCATTCTGCTGATGATTCTACTCTTCACTCTTCTTCACATTTCCCTTCCCCAACTCTCAAATTAGATCTGTTTCTAGAGCTGATATCATTACATCTATCAATGCGGATCTGTGCAGCATGTCCGACTGGAGGTAGAAACTTGGTTAAATTCAATAGTAATAAAACTCAGTATTTACCAATACACTTTCCAAATTAGATGATCTCCCAATCACATTTCAGGATGCTATCATTCCCCAAATTCTAAAATAGATATGCTAGGCATCACCATTTCCTCTAATATATGTGGAAGACACACATCCTAACATTGCTAAAGCTGCTTCCCGAAAGTTGGGAATGCTGTACAGATGCTTTACTCCTGAGCAGTTGCTCCAAGTATATAAGGGATTCGTCCTAACTTGGAGTACTGCTCTCATATCTGGGTGGCTCTTCTTCTGTCCAACTATTAGATAGGGTGGAATCAAAGGCATTTCGTCTTATTAACTCTCCTCCTTTAGTCGACAATCTCTCCCTTTCTCTTCGCCGCAATGTTGCTTCACTCTCTCTCTTTTACAGGTACTTTAACGGGCAATGCCAGGGGATTTGGCATCCTGTGTACCGCCGGGTTCGTAACACACGTCTTACCCGCGGTGCCCACCATTTCTCTGTGGATGTCGGTCACACGAGAATAACCCGTTATAGTACATCCTTTCCTCACACAGCCAAACTGTGGAATGCTTTGCCTCTTCTGTGTTTCCATGCTCTACAATCTGTCTCACTTTAAAAGCTGGTTTCCGGCATCTTCGTGGTGTAGATTAATACAGTATAACCTTTTTCTATATTTTCAATTTCTTTCTGTTCTTTTTTTTCGCCCCCAGGCCCGTTGTGGGTCGTTTGACCTGTGCCCGGGTTGGCTAATTCCAAAAAAAAAAAAAAAAAAATCTTTGGTGTAGATTAATATAACCTTTTCCTTTCCGATTTTTAATTTCTCTATTTTTTTTTTTGGCCCCGATGTGGGTTGTTGACCTGTGCTCGGGTGGGCCAATCCCCGTTAAAAAAAATAAATAAAATAAAAGATTGGTGGGAAAATTAATATTAATTCGCTAATTTGGTGTAACTGTAAATGGTAATATATTCTATTACTCTGAATACAAACAAGTGATTGCCAGCACATTAAGGAATATTTTGTATCGAAGAAAACGTCGTTATTACGGAGGAGGAACTGTTGGTAAGTATTGGCAATTTACTGACTCCAGAATGAATTCACACTCGGTACCGTCAAACAATTTCTGGCAGGCTGCTCCAGACGTTCACAACTCACTCACAAAGTTTGCCCTGACAGTTTTCTGAGCATGTGACTTCCTCAACCTGAATCTGTAACGCCTAGTAAGGTGGGCCAGAGACTTCTTTACATTGTTTAATTTGTCTTAAGATACAACGAACCAACCAGACATGGAAATGTATTATTTTCGGTTAATTTGGATAGGTTAGGTCAGGTTAGGTTAAATAGGGTATCCACCAGTGCCATAAAAAATTAACTTCTCCCAATCTATCAAAATCCTTTTTTTCATTCTCCATTTCCAGAAAAAAAAACTATATTCTTCTCATCGTTTACTTTTATCCTCTTCGCCATTGATCGGCTCGTTAGCCGCTTGGGCGGTGGGTCACGTCTCTGTTACGCAATTTTGGGCAGTATTGGGCAGGCAATGGTTCCTGGATGTATCTGAACCTGCTCCAGAGCTGGTCAAGTCTGGTCTCGAAACAGCTGACACTCGGTGCCGCCATAGCACTCTCTGGTAGGTTGTTCCAAGAGTTCACAATTCTCACTCCGAAAAAGTTTGCCCTCACAGTTTTCTGGACTTGCGGCTTCTTCAACCTTGAGCTGTGACCCTTTGTGGGGCGAGCGTCCGCCAGATCCAGGAATGGACACTCGACTGAGTAGTGTCCTTTGAGTTGCTTATTCACCTCAATTAGGTCACTCCTTGCCCGTCTGAAGTATGAGCTAGGCGGTTGCAGTCTGGTGACCCTCCTTTGGACATTTTCAATCAAATGACAGTCCCTAGCATATCTCGGGGACCAGACAGGGAAGCACCTCACTCTTGAAGATCATTACGAGGAATATCTTAACGAGGTTCTTAGAAGACGTAATTTAGTTGCTTGATTCACCTTCTTCTCATAATACCCAATTCCCAAAAATATAACACATCCCATTTTCCTCCTGTAATACCACATGAAACCTTCATTTTTCTCTTAAACAAACAAACCAAAAATGACTAAGCCCCCGCCCCCCGACACAGCACTTTCCGGGTGGGCAGTGAGAGCTCGGGGTACGAACTGGACATCGGAAACTATTCTGGGAACGCGACGGACGCCTTTACCTATCACCACGGCCGACCCTTCACCTCCTACGACCGTGACAACGATCTCTACATCGACGGCAACTGCGCCAGGTACTTCTCCGGCGGCTGGTGGTATGACAGGTGAGTTCTCGTTCGTCTAATAAATCAGTGGTACCCATTTTTTTTTCATTTCCCCCCCCCCCCCGTGAACGTTCAAAATCCCCGTTGACCCCTTAATTTTTAATAAAAAAAAAGTAAATTGATCTGATCAGAAGATAAAGAGAACATATTTAGCACTTCTCCTATGAGAGCCAAAAGCATCAATCAATCAATAGCTGTATAAGTATAACACTTTAACTGTATAACATAATTTTAACAATTACCACAGTGATGATAACACTAGGTTTGAAGTCATCCAATGAGTGAGTCCAAAGTCAAATTGGAAAGAAAGATGCCAAATTCTACCCTGCCAAGTCGAAATGAATATTAAAACCTTATTTATTTCAGATTTCTTAGAATTTTTTACCATTCTTCAACTTTCCATAGCCCGCCCTGGACCCCCATTGCCCTGGACCCCTGTTTGGAAATGACTTTGACATCAGACATACAGGGTGCGCACATGAATCCTTTGCAACTTTGAGTCACAATGCATAGCGAATGAAATTTTTTTTAATGGAGTTTGGTTTATTGAAAAGAACATATCCTAAAGTTTGTTCACTAAGTCTTCATTATTACACGTCGATATGGGCCCCTTTGTCCACGATACAATATATGATCCCATTATAAAGTTATGCTTATTCCAAGTTGTAAAGGTTTCATTTAGACACACTGTATGCCTTAACAATTTCTTTAATTAGGTACACCTGATAACGTAATTAACTTACTTCGTATTCATCCCGTACACAGCAACTCATAGCACCTGCATTATCTTCAATATTCTACTTCTCCTGAACAGGTGTTACGACGCTCACCTCAACGGCGTGTTCCCGGTGACGCCCGACCGTCAGAACGCCTCCTTCATCACGTGGTGGGCACACGAGGACGGCCTGAAGGTCCCCCTCGTTCTCAATAGTGCAACGCTCAGAGTCAAGCCCAGGGCACTGTAAGAGCTCTTGAGAGTCACGTTTTGTCCGTCTCTAGGCGCCAGATGAACTCTCAGAGATGTATTGTGTGCACAAAGCTCACTACACGCCAGATGGACTCTCATGGCTAAGCTTTCTGTGTCCGATCTCTCTACACGACGTCGTGGCAGCTTTAGGGCGCATTTAATCTTTCGGAGATGTCTAGTATGTTCTGAGCTCTTTACACTCCACTCGCCAGTCTCAGAGCTAAGCTAGACTTCCATAGGTAAGTTTAGTATGACCTGAGCATACTAACCTCTCCTAAACATCTCATCAAATTTAAGATGCCCTGATCTCCTCAGTCCCTCTCCCGATTAAGGTACCGTGAATGTAACGTGATGGTGGACTTGGTCACTTTGTCGAATATTTGTACGGTATGTAAACTTCTTACCTGCTAGACGATATTTGTGATCACAAGACCTACGAGCTATCTTATACTCCCTCTCAAGCTTACATCCCCCAAATTCTCTTTATTCACAGTATGGTGCGATAACATGCCCGGGGGCGAACCCAGAATTTCAGGTTAGTGGGAGCAATCCTATGTAAACTGCTGAGGGCCGGGAATCTTGGGGCCACACAGGACACCATGTACCAGATGAGATAAGAAAGCTGAGGGGTGCAAAATGCAAAGAATAACGAGAAATTAACGAGGGGGTACGTGCCCTCCACCCGCTCTCTCCCTCCCTTCACTCGTCCATCTGTTACTACACTATGGAAGGTTAATACTCTGGAACACTGACTCGTGTTAGCTAGTAGCTGCAGGGGAATGTTATAAAAAAAAATATTCTTACCCTTAGCTTATCCCCCCGAAAGGTGGAGTAATTGTAATTTATGTAATTTTGTTTTGGCGATTTTTTTCGTCTTGATCACGAACCGACATGCTCCCTGTGACGCCATATTGACTCGTTTACATGATATGAATTGTTGTATGAAAGATGAACCAACCAAACCTACCTACTCTAGGATGGAAGTATATTATTTTAGGTCAGTTTTGGAAGGTTAATTTATGTTTGCTATGATAGGTTTAATTAGGTAAGGTATGGAAATGTCGGTGGGAAGCGTTTGTGAAGGGTTGAAGCACAAACTTGGCGTTACCGGGTAGACGGACCATAGAAACATGGGAAAAAACTTATTACGAAAGTTGCTTTTTATATACCTCCTTATAGTATGCTGGAGATAGGAAAGAAGTTTTATCCTATATGAAATTTCCCTTAAAGTTGTTGGTTAACTCGAGTCAGTGTTCTAGAGTATTACCTGGTAGTAGTTCACCCCGGACTCTTCCTCTGGTCACCTTTAGTCATTGGGGGCCGTCAGACCGACGTTGATCTTCTCCGTTATGCCGTGTTAACTGAGCCAGTTATCTTTTCAGCAGTACTCCTGACTGACGGACTCACTCACTCAGACAGTACCGTCATCCGTAAAAGTGTTTTCCATTTTCTTTTTCGAAATTATATTAGTGTCATTACCTAAGCATTAATTATATGAATGAAAATACTAATAAAATTCAATCATCGTATTCTTGTAACTAAATTTTCTGCGTTAGTTAAATAACGGCAGCATACTTGAAATAAACATATGATTCAGTCTCTATTATTCTTCCTAACCCCAGGCAGTTCGAGGCTTCAGTGACTCAACCATACAAGTCACAACCAATTATCACCTGTTATCCAAATTCCTACTCTTCCACCAATTAGTTCTACTGTTAATGCTTTCCCACTAACCTTTATCCCTTCATGAAGAAATATTGATCGTTTTGGGAGCGAGGAGTTCGGCGCACTGAGTTAAATTTACTGGTAGGCTCATCGTCAACCACGTCAATCTCAGTGATCGGTCGTAAGTTCATAACAAAATAATAAAGGATCATGAATATAATGTACATGAACGTGAATCCCGAATGCAAAATAACGCAAACGAATAATATAAACAAACAAGAATAGATAATAAATGTTAAATATTATTATTATTATTATTATTTAATTAATACACATCGTCCTACGTGAAACATGTGACAAGAAAAGACGACAAAATGATTCGAGCAATACTCTGTACACGTAAATATAAAGCAAGTCGTGGAAATATCGTTTCATTAAGGAGGACTATGAAGAAATTCTTTAACCTTCAAGCACTGAACCTTACAGTAAACTATAAAAATTTTCAATAGATGGCAAAAACATGTAGAGCTTACATGTATGACACCTATATAAGGGCATCAGTGCTGACAGGGATCGTGATTCGTGAATCTAACGTAAATTAAGTAGAAAGGTCACCATACATCAGAAAAATTTATCTTTTTGTATGAATTGATTTAGTTTAAGTGCTTGAAGAATTTGATCGTTGATAACCGGAAATGTAAAAGAGAAAAACACTAATATTTATAATAATTAACAAGCGAAAGCAATTGTAGTAAACAAATCGGTTGTAAACACAGAGATCTGAAAGAAACAAAATCTTAACTCCACCAACCATTGAAACATACATTAGTACAGTTATATATACTTACTAACCCGTACAGTATATAATTCTTTACGCCTTAAACTCTATGTCCAGCAACACCAAAATTATATACTAGCGCTGCTAATAAGCATCCGCCGACCAGAATGCTATAGGTTGAAAACGCTACTTGATGTCATGTTTCACAATTATAGGTCGAATAAAATAATTTTTATAACACTTCCCAAGATAACAACAGACAACACACTATCCAAATAATCCTACCCTAATCATCCTATGGTAAGTCTGGTTTGGTTAGGTGTAATTAATTAATGTCTACCTGAAGAATACACTATCATCAGTTTATTTCTGGAAGTGAACAGATTATGGCCACACTCTACATACACACACATATATACACGTACATACACACCCACACCCACATACATACACCCACTCCGACATACACATATAGCCAAATGGTGTGAAACTGTTGGTAAATTTTTATGATTTTTATTTTAATTTAAAATTTAAATTGTTTAAGGTTTAGGATAAGTATATTTAGTATATTTAAAAATTACTCTGTATTTACATATATTTTGATATATTCCAGTGTTAAGTATACACATCATGTCAGTAGTTATGGTAGATATATGAGTTAATAAAATATTTCTAATTCACTGCAATATTTATTTCTCCATTTTAAGATTTTGTTCTAAATAAACTATAAAATAAATCTGTTCATTAAAATAGATTTATATAAATTAGGTATTATCTATAAGAAGAATTTGATACAGTTTCCTCCCATACTGTATTTTTATTTTTCTAAGTTAAAAAATATAAGGAAACATAACTCTATATCTTTAAAAAATTGAATTAAATTTTCTTAAAACAATTCTTACTTAGGTTTCTTCGTATTCCTTTATCAATATATGAAGTTGCATAAATTTCAGACATTATTCAAACTTCACAATACATTTCACTAAACCTCAAACTACATTCAATCTGACACTTCACTGCACCTCAGATTTCCTTCATTCATACACTTGCTGGGAATTAAAACCATTTACTCATACAAAAGTTTATTAGTGAGTTCAGCATAATACAAGAATCATAAGAAATACACAAAAATAATAGTACTCAAGACAATCTAATCTATATATACTGTATATACATCTATTTACAAAAGTGGTATTCAAAGCTGCATTTATTTACAACTCGTGTAAAAAATATTGTAAAAAAATAATAATGTTAAAAATAGATAAACCACGAATAGGATTTGGTAAAACAGCATCGAAATGGTAGAGATAAGTTTAACCTAACCTAACCTTATGTAATTTAACCTCATTTGGTTTAATTTAACATGATGTGGAACTGTTGAAGCTTTTCGTAAGGTTAGGTTAGGTTTAGGTTGATTTTTCTCTTAATGATAGCTATTGACAAGAACCTAATCTAACCAAAAGCTATTCATAGTGCCAAGGTTTAGGATTAAGTTAGGTTAGGTTAAATTAAACCCTTGATGACATTTATCGATATAAACCTCACCTAACCTAAACCTAAATAAATCTAGGTATGGTTAGGTTAGGTTTAATTATATTAGATTGAGTACTGCAAAACACGAGGCTAAGGTAACTTAACCTAACCATAGCTACCTTCAGTTAAGTCAGGTTAGGTCAGGTCAGGTTAGGTCAGTTTATAAAGAGCAAGCTTACCACGTCCTATTCGCGGTACTTCTTCTCCAACACTGCACACTTGCATACAAATCTCCCCTTTGCTATTGGTCTGGATAAATAAAGAGTTGGACCAATCACATAACCGAAAAATAAAAACACATCTGGCAACTGAAGTGATGAGTGAGACCTATAAGTATTTATTTCACTGTTTTATAATAACGTTCGAGACTAAACCATATTTTACCTAGCGTGTGTCTTTGATTAAAACATGCTGTATCGTAGACTGAAACTTATGCTATTACATTATATGACTGGGTTAATCAAGGCATCTGAGAGTTGGTTGATTTGTTTCTACTAAAAATAAAACAATTAGGGAAATATCGATTGATTTGGTAGTTTTTAAGCCTTTACTTATATATAATATTCCTTATACAGCATATCTTATACCCTGGTAAAATAGCTACATAAAAAATATAAATAGTGTAGCGAAAAATTATAAAAAGTAATCTCTTCTTAGTATTACTTCTGCAGCCATTTTTGTCATTGTTTTTCTTAAGGGATCCCAAATATAATAGTACGTTTAAGAGAGAGCCGACCAAATCGTCTACTGGTGGGGTGGTATGTACATATGATTTATCAACTTAGCATACATAAATAATTACCTTAATGTATTGTTTCTTACTGGGATAATTACAATCGTAGTACAGTAATTACAATGTGTTTACTTTCTTATAATGATAAATAACTTCTTTCTTAATTCCTGGTTGGGGAAGACAGAGTGATGTTCTCTTATGACTTCTACTATTTCTTTCTTCTTCTTTCTCTGTTTTCTTTCTGATCAATTATCTCTTTCTTAGTCTCTTAGTCTCTCGGCCATAATGTATTCTTCCTTTTCTACTTTCACAATCTCTCTCCTGATAAAAGTCTCTCACTGACATCTCAATTAAAGCCTAAAATAAAATAACTGTAGAGACACAAACACGTGACTATCTCTTGTTGTCTCTCTCACGTCGTTGTGTTCACCCAGGAAGACAAAACAGATCTCTCACACTGATGGCTGTCTCTCCCTGTGTCTCTCAAGAGCTACTACACCATTGAAAGAGTCACATCAAAGACTGTATAATTATGATAGTATAAATTGTATCCTGTGTGTGTGTGTGTGTGTGTGTGTGGATTGAATGAGAAGGTAAATGTGTTATGGTGCGTAAATGATGAGTGAGTGTGTTGTGATGAGTGTGTTTGGTTGGTGTGGGGTGATTGGGTGAAAGTGAGTATGTGGTAGTGTTGTGGTGAAAGAGTAGCTAGTGTGTAGTTGTGGTGGAGGGTGTGTGTGGTGCAGGAGGTTGTGGTGGAGGGTTTGTGGTTGTGGTTGGAGGGTGTTAGTAGAGGTTAGCTGCAGAGTGGCCAGCACCCGGCAGGAGGGAGAGCCGCCATGAATGACCATCACTTAACACCCCAGCACGGTAGGTCCTAAGATTAGTGGGGGGGGGCGACGATGCTCCTAGGGGGAGGGAAAACTTAACCAACGGGAAAGGGAGAAGGAGGGAAGGGGAAGGAGAAAGGGGAGAGGGTTGGAGTGACGGTGATGGTGGCGGTGGAGTAGGTGGTGAGGGTGGTGTGGACGACCTCCACGCTGCTGATGGTGGTCATGATGGGCCGTGCGTTGAAGATGACGCGGAAGACCCTGGTGGAGGTGGTGGTGAGGTCGGTGGTGATAGTCACGGGGGAGGAGGTCACGGTGGTCTGCGGCTGGACAGGAGGAAACCCGCCAAAGCCGTAGGGGTTCATCAGACGAAGGTAAGCCAGTTGCTGCAGCTGCTCCGGTGTCAGTTGTGGGGTGGCTACTGCTGGTTCAGCTGGTGCCAGCAGCTGTCCTGGGGTCAACTGAGGTGTTCCACCACTCTGTTGCTGTTGTTGTTGCTGTTGTTTTTGCTGCTGCTGCTGTTGCTGCTGGCGCTGTTCGAGGGCAGCAGCCAGCTGAGGATGTAATTGCTTTTCAAAAACATCTGGGTTAAACTCTCCCCCCGCCAGTTCGGCAAGGTCGGGGTCCTGGATGGGGAAACCAGGAGGTGGTCGAACACGGGTCTCACTTGTCGTGGCCACGATCTCTCCGTTCTCGTCGTACTCCACTTCTCCTGGGAGCAGAGCCTCCTCGTTCTCGGTGCCCTCAGCCAACAGCTGACCATTGAATTCGTTCAAGGAGTTCTCGGGGATGAAAGAGAACGCTTCGTAAGGTGGCATAGTCTTGAGAGCGGTGACGACCCGGGTGATGTGGTAAGTCTGTGTGAGTGTGTGGAAAAAGGTTTCTCCGGCCTGCAGTACTGGCAGCACCGACGTCTTCTTCACCATGTCCGTTGTGCTGAAGGTCTCCGTCACCGTCTCCAGCACCACGGAGATGTCATTCGAACCGAGGTCGACAGGTGGAAGCGTAGACACATCGCGTGGGCCAGCGTTCAGGATGTTCTCGAACAGAGGCGTCTCGTAGAGCTCGTCCTGGGTGAGGGTGGGGTCGGGTGTGACATCGATGCTGTGAGTAAGGGTCTTAGTGAAGGTGACGTAGCGGGTGTTCTTGGTGGTACCGACTCGGAAGGTGTGCAGAGAGCGGATGGTCTTCACCTCGAGCCAGACGTCAGTAGGGCCATCGGCGGGCGTGCTGGTCACCACCCGAATAGTCTCCTCCTGGGTATCCTGTAGTATGGGAGCTTCGGGAGTTGGTCGATAGTAGGAGTCGATGACACTCTCTTCAGCAGTCTGTTGTTTGTTATAGTTATCAGCGGGGCCGATGGGGCGTCTGTTGATGTTAACTTTGGGTCTGGGTGATGTTCCGAGGCGCCAGCGGTTTGAGGGTCTTCCCGTGCGCTTGGAGCCGGGAGGAGTAGGACGCAGAGTAGTTTGTCGACCACCACTGAAGCGCCGAGTTGCGGATGACTTATAGCGTGGTATGACAGTTGTCGGGTTCTGCGATTGAGCGTAAAATGTGCTGACCTCTGGTGTCCTCCTCAAAGATGCTGTTTGCTGAAACCTGAAGGATGGACGTAGGTTAGAACCTGCCCTCTGCAAGTCATGATCCTCCTCCTCATCAGCGTACGGATCTTGCATGGGGCGAGAGCGAGGACCAGAGTTTTGTTGGGAACCTCGACGTTTGGACAGAGCAGACCTGAGACGTGCCTGTATGAGTGACTCCTCCTCGTTTCTGCGACTGTCGCGGTTTCTGCTCACTGGTACTGAGAAGAGAGACTCAAGCGGGAGGGCAGAGGTGGTCTCTGGCGTGATAAACTGTGTAGCTGAACCCTTGATGACAGACTTGATGGTTTCGTAATCAGGGGACAAGGAGGGGCTGTTAAGGTTTTCCTCCTGTGCAAGTGACACCTGGAAGATGTGGGAGGTGCTCATGAGGACTTGTGCGTACTGTCCTTTGATGTAGGTCCCAATGACACTGGTCTCGTGCACGGTAGTGAGTCCGTCCGAAACAATGGTCCCTCCTAGCTTGGTGACGAGACCAGTGGGGAACTCGGTTTTGGTGTTGTCAGTGTTCAATAAGCTGGCGCTGTAAAGTTCTTTTTTAGCTGTCGGTTCAACCTCGAAAACATCGAACTCCTCTTGTACGTTCAGAGTGGGAGACGAGGAGAGAAAGTCGTAGTGTTCGCTGACCTGCCCCAGCTCGTTGTTGACAGCAGTACTGAAGGGGCCTATGACGCTCAGTGAGGCGAAGCCTTGTGTGGCACTCACGACGACTTCTGAGGGTGTAGTGATGAACACTGGGGACCTCAGCGGTTCTTGAGTGACCTTGGTTTTCTGCGTCAACTTACCAGTTCCTTCAACAGTGATCGGCACTATCGTGGAGCCCCCCGGAAACCTTCTATCTGACGCCGGCTTCTTCCGGTTGGCGAAGTAGTTGAGGTCAAGGCGTCGACGGTTGCCAGTGGTTTCGGCAGAGGGCTTAAAGGGGCGGCGGAAAGGCGGTGTAGAACGGGTCGGCTTGGCTACGACCTCTACTTTTTCTTCTGGTAATTCTTCCTCAAATATCTCCTCCTGGGGTGACCTGGAGAAGAGTTCCTCGATGGCCAGCGGTGTGTGAGGCTCGAAGAAGGACGATTCAAGGGTGGAGGAGGGGAGGATGGAGGCCCTTGGGGGTAGCGTGGAGGGTGCGGGTGTGGCCGTCACTCTGGCCAGTGTGGGTGTGGGTGAGGGCGTGAAACGAGACGATGGGCGGGCGTGATGAGACGAACGCGAAGCTGGAGACGGCACCCGGGTCTCGGTAGCACTGGGCTCTGCAGAGTAAAAAACCGAGTTTAGGAAGACATAATTTACCAGGAGGTTTCTGTATTGTCCTAGCACCTTGCCTAAGCGTATACTGCCATACCTGCCATACTTACGCTGCACTGATTCCTCCATTCTTCTCATATATCAACAGTGTTGGTTGTGTTTCCTGCGGCGCTCAGCCAAAACCACAGTTGACAGCACTGACACAACCCCTTACTGTTGTCACTGCCACGTTTCATGTTACCTTCACCACTAGACACAAGTGCCACACCCTCCTGACATTAACAAGCTTGAGGAACTGATAAGTCTCTGCTATATCGCTGAAACAATGGATCCTGGTGTCACCTCCTTTCCTGGGTAAATTGTACAAATTTCCTACCTGTCTGGCTATAAAATCATCTATAAATACTTCCATTTACCTATTTTCAAGAAGGTCGAACCTTCTCTTCCCTCTCTTACATCCGTCTAACTATAGTCCAACAGCTCCCACATTCATGACCTCAAACGATCATTAGTCAGAAGCTTCTCCTATATAAGACCTTCATCTATGTTCTACCACTGTGGGCTTCTCGGGGGCAACTGAACCATCCATCATCAAGTAGAGTGATAAGTAATGATGTTCCTAGCGCACTCTGGTGGTGGTCTGCCTCACTACCATCTTCTTACACTTACTCGAACTCTACAGTAAGTCAAGCCTACCAACTGACCAACTGAATGCATATACAGCTTACTACTACTACTACTACTACTACTATCCCATTTTGCACTATACTTAGACAACTTTTCAGCTCACTACGACAGAAACCGATGATTTAAAACAACTGAACATTATTCGAAAAAATGACATGAAATTGAAAATCATTAATAAGGACAAACTTCATAACAGTAAACAATGAATCTCTCTTGTGACAATCCATTAAAAATTTGTGAGACAGTAATCGAAAATAAAATGCCGTAGTGGTAAAAGACGAGCGAAGAACTTTACGCCCGTATTATTAAACATCTTCCCTCGAAGAGGGTCGTCGTGTTTCAACCCGAGTTTTAAACTAAAGGAGTCCTGAGGGACACCGCAGTACAGTACTTAACGGGGTGGTGTGGCGGTAAAATGAACTAATTCCAATAATTAATGTCTCGACTACAATAAGACACCCAGAACCATTGTACATTGGGGCTGTTGATGTATATTCTGTCCATCTATGTATACTGATTTGGTATGGCAGCTTATGACTCACTGGTATATTAAGTATCTATCTATCTATCTATCTATCTATCTATCTATCTATTATGAAAATCTGTCTGTGTATAATGTAAAAAGGATATCACCCATAGATTGCCGTTTACAGAGCAGAAAGTATCCCACGAGACAAGAGAAGACCCGGATATGACAGCAGACACTCACTACCACTCTGGCTCTGAGGGGTGAAGATCATGACAGTGTTGCCAACGACGGTCGTGAAGTCCAGGAAGCCATACACGGTCTTGGTGACGAAATTTGAGGATGGTGAGGGCGCGGGTCTTGGTGTGGGCGGGGGCTGGTCGACCACCACGGGCGTTACCTCCACTACTGAAGGTGGTGAGGCTACATCCCCACCTTCTCCGTCAGGGGTGTAGACAGGCGACAGCTGGGCCGACGCTGTCACCACTGTAAACATGGATCAGAAATTACCTTTATGTTTACTTATATGGCGTCGATCGGTTACGTTAATAGGAATTGTGTTAGGTTAATTAATCCGGTTTCAGTTAAGTTAGGTTGTTAGGTTGTATTAGGTTAGGTTTAAGTTTGGTTAATTGGGTTAGGATATGTTAGGCTTGGTTAGGTTAGGTTAAGTTAGGTTAGGTTAGGTTAGGTTAGGTTAGGTTAAAGGTTGTTTGGGTGAAGTTAAAACAAGATAAAAGCATTTAGATGAGACTGGACCGTGGTAGGGTCAATATAGGTTAGGTTAGATCATAATATATTAGATTAGGCTAGATTAGGTCATGATAGATTAGGCTAGGCTAGTGGTGTGAGGGCTAGGGGGAAGTTATTTGCGGTGGGGGGTTAAGGGAGGGGTAGGGGTAAGGGGAGGGCGGGAGTGAAGGGAATGATTATGGGAGGAAAGTTGGAGTAGGGGTAAGGGGATGGATAGGGGAAGGGGGGAAGGGGGGAGTAGGGGTGAAAGAAAGGGAGGGGTTAGGCCCTGGGGAGTGAGGGGCAGAGTGGGGTGGGGGTGAGGGGAAGGGGTTGATGTGGTACCTAAATAATACTAATGTTATAGGGCAGCCTCTTAAACATCGCCAGTATCGAGGAAGACATTGTACTGTGTATGACCCACAACAAGTGATGTACAGTAGACAGTAACAAACAATTTCCCATTTTCTCTAATTTGATTCTTAAAAAAATCCCATTATTCTAATTCGATTCTTCAACAAGTTCCCATTTTCTCAAATTTGATTCTTTAAAAAATCCCATTTTCTCCAATTTGATTCTTAAACAATTTCACATTTTCTCCAATTTGATTCTTAAACAATTTCCCATTTTCTCTAATTTGGTCCTGCTTTATATCTCATCAATTTATTACTCAACTTTTTTGCTTATGTTTTGTCAATTTTTTTCTGGCAATGGTGTAATTGTTGCTAACTGTGAGTGACTGTGAATGGCTATGAGTGACTGTGAGTGACTGTGAATGGTTATGAGTGATGGTGAATGGCAATGAGTGATTGTGAGTGCCTGAGAGTGGCTATGAGTGGCTGGGAGAAGCTGGGAATTACTGTAAATGACTGTAAGTAACTCTGAGACTGTGTGCTTCGTGACATCGTTATGACACGTCCAGTTAGATCACAACACTGTAAACTGTTACATCCAGGAGCAAGTGACTGGATTTAATGACTGTACAGATACACTTACATTAATACAGTTACCACATGGGTATTACTGTACCTGTACTGTATAACTGTATTGCATACCTGTAATGTATAACTGTATTGTACACCTGTAATGTATAACTGTATTGTATACCTGTAATGTATAACTGTATTGTATACCTGTAATTTATAACTGTACTGTATAACTGTATATTTACCTGTACATATATGACTGAATTTTCTCCTTAGAGGAAGACTGAGTAACGTGACTACTTACCACTGCTATGAGATGACTTGGTGAATAGTGAAGTAATGGTAATAATGAATAATACTACAATGAATAATTGGATTAACATCATAATGAAAAAATGCAGAGGAATTTATGTAGGTAAGGTTTCAGTGCTACAAGGGCGTATGGTGGTGAGGATAAGCGAGGGATAAGCGAAGGGGTGTTAATTATTGCAGGTGTAGGACAGGTGTGTGTGTGTGTGTGTGTGTGTGTGTGTGTGTGTGTGTGTGTGTGTGTGTGTTTATCTTTCTATCGGCCACGAAACACATTTATTCTTGTGGGATCACCTGAAGATTAAACACCCTACAGTAATTTAATCCAACCTAACTTAACCTCACCTAACAATCAAATCAAACCTAACTTAATTAAACCCAACTTAACCTAACCAAACTTGATCTAACCTAACCTAGCTTAATGTAACTCAACCTAACCTAACCAATTCAGGTAGTGTCACAGGGTTTTTAATCATCAGGTGAAATAAGGTGTGTTAGTAATGAAGTATCTTATTTAATTTCAGCTACAGTTTACTGAAGTGTTTTACGGAGATATGGAAAACCTCTCACAGTAACAACAGCTCTTAATCCTCACAAACGAGATATAAAATAAACCAATAAACAAACGGAGGAGAGAGAAAGCCTTAAGTGATACATGTGTGTGTGTGTGTGTGTGTGTGTGTGTGTGTGTGTGTGTGTGTGTGTGTGTGTGTGTGTGTGTGTGTGTGTGTGTGTGTGTGTGTGTGTGTGTGTGTGTGTGTGTGTGTGTGTGTGTGTGAAGCAACAAAATCATAATAACAGATTATATTTTAAGGCCAAACCGAATATTGCAGATTGGTTGGGGACAGGTGTGTGGAGGGGTGGGGGTGGGGGTGCCGGTAGTGGGTGGGTAGGGGTGGGGGTGGGGGTGGGTGGGTGGGTAGGTGCACATAACATAAACACAGTGTCCAGGACAACAAAAAGTGTTACAACATACAGACACACATACAGACAGACAGACAGACAGAGAGACGCACAGACAGACAGAGAGACACACATACAGACAGACAGACAGACAGAGAGACGCACAGACAGACAGAGAGACACACATACAGACAGACAGACAGACAGAGAGACGCACAGACAGACAGAGAGACACACATACAGACAGACAGACAGACAGAGAGACGCACAGACAGACAGAGAGACACACATACAGACAGACAGACAGACAGAGAGACACGCATACAGAGACAGACACACAGACAGACAGACAGACGTGATGTGTATCTCTTTGAACGAGACGCCATCAATGTTCAACGGCGTCTTGGAGCAAACGTTAATTCTTTCAGGAACCGAATACCGAGGGTTCGTATCCCACCAGGTGCTGTGTGAAATATATCGAGATGTTACGTTATAATGTGTGAAAACCTTTTATTCTTTACCGTAGCCTCATGCCATACAGGTCGTGAAGAGAATATTTATACTGTATGTTACTGGAGGGTTTTCGTTCACTTGTTGTTCAGGTCTTATACCACTGAAGGCTCTAGTAGAGTGTTGAGGCACTATTGATCTTGTTGATTCATTCATGGCAACTTAAATCAGCTGGTGTTTCTACTTCTACGAGTACTATGTTCTGTCATTCATACATGGACGTGATGCTTACTACTACTACTACTACTATTACCATTACTACTACTATTGCTGTTGTTATTGCTGCTGCTTCTGCTGGTCCATTCATAACCTCCACTTTAACGACAGGTTCATTCATATGCTGATATATACTGCTTCCTGAACTGTTCATAATAACGAGGTGCTGCCTACTGCTACTTCTACCACGCCACTACTACTGACTCATGCGTCTACACACCTGACACACTAGTAACAACACTACACACCAGTACTGTACTAGCGGGCGTCTCCAAGGGGCTACAGTTCGTGCTCTACACCATGCAAGCGTCATGCAGCTCTGCCCTGATCACAGTGACCAGCGCAAGTTCTAATCTAGTTTACAAATATTGCAGAATAATTGTTTACACAACCACAGATGTTTATAATGGTGGGTTTTATTGAATTTTATTTTTACAGGATATTTTAAAGGTAATAAAGAGTTAAGTGTTTATATAGTTATAATATAATTTTTTGTATTTAGTTTAGGTTCAACGCTATTGACTTGTAGTCTTTAGGAACGAATTCAAGTTCGTGCAGTTTTTACGTAGTCAAGGGGGAAAAACGCATACCAGAGAGCTAGTTAACTAACAGTGCTTTATATAGAGAAAGAACGTACACACAAAATGCGTAACAGTGAGCTACTACAGCTAACAGAGCTGTCTATAAGGAAACAGGTCGCACAGAGACGGTGGACCGCGTACTAGAGGACTAATTCACATAAAGAACTGCATGACTAGGGCCGTCGCGGCGTGCATCAGAGAGGGATAGCGAAGGGAAGGGCCCTGGGTGATGACGTCACATGTAAACATCACCGCAGGGCAGCCAACTGTGTGTGTGTGGAGGCGTGCGTGTCAAGGCTGCCAACTTACCCAAGCTGAACGGATCAGTATAGTCTCCGCCAACGGTAAAGGTGTTAAGTTTGGGATACTCAACGACATGGGCACTTCCTGTTGTTGGGTTCCCTGCAAAAAGAAGCCACAGCGAGACATGCCAAGTGAGCTGAGGTCAACTGGGGGTCAACGGGGGTCAACTGGGGTCAACTGAGTTCAGCTGAGGTCAGGTAAGAGTTATTGAGATCTACTAAATTCAATTGGACTCAACTGAAACCAATTGAGGTAAATTGGGTTGAGCTGAGATCAACTGAAGTCAACTGAGGTCAGCTGAGGAGGTCAAGGTTCTCCACGACCTCCCTCCTTCCCTACTTTGGTCAGGTTGGTCGTCGGTGATTGGTCAGAATCATCTACACGAGCCGTACATAAAAGCTACTGAGACAACCACTACAAGACCTGTACTGCATATATTTATTAGTGTCAACAGTTCTCACTATCTCTTATTACTACTAAAGCCTCAGGTATACTTGACTGAGTGTGCAGGTCTACTGATGCCAAATAATAAAGTTCAAGTCATGCTGAATAAAAAAATAAATAAAAAATAAAATAATCCTAATGCAATGAGTTAAGAATTACAGCAAGATGTCTGACTACTTTTTGGCAGTCTGGATGATTTTTAACATTAACTCGTAAAGCTAAAAGTTACAGGGTTGATTATGTTAGTTCAGTTAGTGAGTTGATACCATCTGCTTGCAGTAACCATCATCATCATCATCACGGTTCAAACTCGCGGGAAAAAAGTAGCCAACAGGCAGAATCAAGGAGAGAACACGGAGGACAGGTGTCAAGAAGAACGTCATTAACAAACACAGGTATCGAGGCGGCCATCAGTTCCTCAGCCGAAGGTTCTTAACTTTGTGTACACTGGCTGGCCGGAACACAGGCGCTCGGTTGACTCCAGAGACTATGTAAACACACCAATTCTCATTTTCTCATATATATATTTATTTACAGGATTAATCCATTCACTAAAGGTTATTGATATTTTCTTTTGAGTCACAATACGTATAAGAGAACACAGAAGCTTACAATAATGGAAACCACCTGAGAATTTAATCTTTAAAGATTACTAGTAATAATAATTTACCCATGTCGGAGAAAATTATCCTTTCATCTTTCATTAAATCTGGTATGGAATCCTTTTTTATAACTTTCGTATAAATAAACCTGTGTATTTATATACATAATAAGTGTATGATGCATGATTACTGTATGACCATCCGCCCCAGGTATGGAGGGATGTCTAAATATACCTTTCTTATCTAGGTGTCTCAATCGACCTCCCGTTTAAGCTCCGCCCACTTACATTAATATCCTTAGCAACCATCTCAGTCCGAGAAACTCGATTGGATGCTGGTTGCTAAGTGATTCCCCTAGCAACCAGCAACCAATCAAGTTCCATGAATTGAGATGGTTGCTAAGGACGCTGAAAGGGGCCAGAGTATTTGCCAAATTCGTAAATGAGAAAGTATACTGAAGGGCGGTGTATGTTGGTGAAGCATACACTACTGGGATATATTTATACAACAGAGTGAATGGGGAATACAACACGTGTATTCTAAAGTTGATAGCTACCATGCTTACTGTCTACCACCAGAGCATGTACAAAGTGACAGTATAATGAAGATCAAACTGAGATAAACATAGAATACATAAAAAAACGAGACTGATGCTATAGCTCTTTTTATTTACTAAATTAAGAAAATCCACTGTGATCGCCTTCAAAGTAGTTCCCTTCTGAGTTGACACACAGCTGCATACGATGCTGCCACAGTTCAAAGCAATTCCACAGATCATGTTCTGTAAGGCTGTTGAGGAGCACGGACTTGATCTTTGAGAAGAGGTAGAAGTCACAGGGAGCCAGGTCTGGCGAATAAGATGGGTGCTTAAGCACAGTGATGTTTTTATTGGGTAAAAACTGCTTCACAGACAAAGAGTTGTGGGCTGGCGTGTTGTTCATCTGACAGCATTTTATTTATCCTTTTTGCACAAACCTTTGTCATGTTCAATTCTTCCGTTAGAATGCGTCGAACACTTTCCCTGTCTAAATCAACTTTCTCAGCTATTGCTCGAACACCCAACCTACGTTTTTTTCAATGTTGTCATCGATAACTGCTGTGCGTAGATGGCCTGGGTGGTCATCATCTGTCACAGTTTCTCTGTCTTCCGAAAATCGTTTGTGCCATTCAAAAACGCGTGCACGAGACATGCAATCTTCACCGTAAGCTTCAGTCAATAATTGAAAAGTTTCCTTCGCGGATTTCTTAAGTTTAACAAGAAACTTGATGTTAACTCGTTGCTCAGTTTTGCAGTCAGACATTATCAGACCGAGCGTAAGAACACGTCTATACTTCAACACACGCCCACATGTACTGTACTGAGTGAAGCTATGGAGTTGAGCCTTGTAACACTGTGACAGGCTATAACATCTTCACTAACCGTCTGTTTGTCCCTCCCCTTTCACTCTTGGTTCCCGAGTTATAGGGTCAGTCTCGTTATTTTTGTGTCGGACCTCATATACAGATTTTATTCTACGAGAGTATACTTCTTAATGTATTACTAAAAAAATAAACGGACTGAAAAATACAAGTAACGAAATATATAAGAATTGACCGTATTTTCACTTTTATTCAGTTTTCTTAGAGAACAAGTGTGTGTGTGTGTGTGTGTGTGTGTGTGTGTGTGTAAGAGATATCTCAAAGTCTCTCTATTCCTTTTATCTCTTACGATATTCCCACCACACCTTCTCTCAGTTCATTTTAGAGAGAGAGAGAGAGAGAGAGAAAATATTCATCCCCCTCACTCCTTCCCTCCCTTCTCTCACCATCCACCTCCCCCCTTCCCCCACCCCTTCCCCCTTCCCCTCCCACCCAGCCCGAGTCGACATATAACAAAGGAAGGATATTACGTATTAACACCACCTTAATAACGAAACAAAACGGCGATTGCAGGTAGACCAAGTAATATGAGAGACTTCATTATAACAGCGTCCGTGAGAATGATGTCAAGTAAGATCGTGTAAGATTTAGTAAAAGTATATGTAAGTCACGTATGATTTTGACGCAAGGTGAATGATCGTAAGTCATATATGATTTTGAACCAAGGAAAATGATCTAATGTAAAGGTATGTATGACCTGTTAACGTAAGCTACATTGATTTAACGTAATACCGTATGTATGATTTGAATTTAAAGAGATCATACGCTCTTATTGTCACGATACGCATTTCTGATAGGCACAGCAATCAAATACGCAACATACACACATCAGTCACTTACACATTATACACACATCAAAATATATACACATCTATATACATCATTGACTATGGTGATGACACAGTTACTAAAAGGTCATACGTCATGCCTGTTACTGCTATGACACACTGGCATGCCATGACCCAGTGAAGATACGAATGACTTCATATGCATAATGTGTGTGTGTGTGTGTGTGTGTGTGTGTGTGTGTGTATGTGTGTGTGTACGTTTTACATCACCAATCGTAAATAAACAACAGCCTCTCTCTCTCTCCATACATGCAAAAAAGTATATGTCAAAAAAGTACCCAAAAAATACTTCCGGTATAACCTTGGTGAAAACAAAACACAGGAAATTTATAAAACAAACACGACGGACAAAAACAAAACACTATCACTTGTCTATTATGGCGCCAAGTGAAAGTTACCTTCAAGTTTGAGATTTTTTTGGGGGGTAAGTTCCACATAAGTATGGAGGCGTATATAAGAAATGTGATTGATTTTTCCACTGAGATTACCTGAAGATTAGACACCCCAGATTATTTTACTTGATGATTAAACAAACTTGATGCTAACCTAACCTAAACTAAACTAACCTAACCTAACTTAACCTAACCATCCCAAATAGCGATAATGTGAAATATGATGAGGTGTTTGATTATATACCTAAGTGTCATTATCTAAGAGAAAATATATGAAATTATCCAACAGTAATTACATCATATATTTAGTATCATTTACAAACTTTTTTTTATCAATAACGAGTAATTATTTCTATGTAATTATAACACAAACATATTTCCAGCAGCCATGAATGATAACAAACAACTATAATGGCGTCAGATATGTAAGAACAGAAAGAGAAAAATTCCATCATAAAATATATTGAATACCATCGTCTGTACAAGGTTGAGTGCGGGGGCGGGGGGGAACGCTGGTTGGCTGGGGTCAATGGTTTTGGTTGGCAGCGCATGCGTACACCACACCAAGTCGTCACCACTCACTGGTCCTCTTGGTAACACTTTCCTTCCTTCCTTCCTTCATTCCTTCCTCCCTCCCCGCCCCTTCCCTCCTATCTTTTATCTCTCGTAACCTTTGGTGTGCTAGAGGGCGTAAAAGTCGTACCAGCTCTCATCGGTTACTGAACAACGATTTGAGGAAGCGATCTACCGTCAACCGGAACTAAATACCGGATTAGATTGGCGGTCGGTTACCATAACACGGGACAATAGGTAAAATCTCCCGAGCGATAAGAGAGACACCGATTGTTTTCATTCTTGTGTGGATAAACTTACGATTATTTTTTTTTTAAGCATTTGTGAATGTTCTTATACGAGTTTGATTTCTCTTTTTTTTTGGTTAGATTTGGGAATGTTTACAGTCAGTTGGACTTTTGAAGATCAATGTCAAGTGTGGTTTTCTTCTCAGTGTTTGTGTGTAAATAATAGAACACAGGCGTCGTGGATCAGTGCTCTGTGGACGTCAGGAAACCAGAAGGTCACTGCCACACTAAAACACCGGGGACACACCTGAGAAACAACTGAGACACACCTGAGAAACTACTGAGACACATCTGACATCTGAGACACATTTGAGACACACCTCACCGAGTTTTATCAATGACAAGTGACACTTACAAATGTACAAGACTTCAGGCTGTCACTTGGTCTTTAACGATACAAATACCACTTATAAATGTAGAAAACCAAAGTGTGTCATTTGATTTTTACGGACAGACGTGACACTTAAAACCAAACAAAACCTTAGAGGGTCATTTGGACTCTTACCGTCACAAATAATACTCAGATATATCTTT